AAATTGGTGTAATCTTTTTTTAGCCTTAAGCAAACTGCTTTCTTGAAAGTCACCTTGAAGTCAAACAATTGTCTTGCTAATTAATAAAGCTTATTTTGCTCTGTGCATTGTACACTTTTGAATAATTCCATTTTAGGAAACAGAGGCTCCAGGGTTGGACTGGAAGCTGTGTTTTAGGGTAAATTGTTATTAGGTAAACACTGTTCCCTGCCCGGCAAGGTCAATATCATGGGTTATTAGAATCTGTCTCACATACTTCTGGCATATTATCAGGAGGGGGCAGTCTGTGGCGACGGACATCATGCTTGGTAAAGTAGGAGGTCAGTGAATAAAAGGAAGCTCCTCAAGGAAATGGACCGGCATGTTGACGGCCACAATGGGCTCCAGCGCAGCAGAGACTGGGGGGACAGCCCCGGAATGGGCAATATCTTCTTCTGTTGTGCATATGGTCACCAAGCTAGTGGCACCTAACAAATGGAAAGTGGTGCTCTGGTGGCAGTGTTTCAAGCTGTAACTGTAACCAAAGCTGGTAATTTAAAGACAGGCAGTTCAAACCACCAGCTGCTCCTCAGGATAAGCACGGGGTTGCCTGCTTCCATAAAGATGTGCTGCCTTGGAAACTCGACGGAGCACTTCTGCTCTATAGAACGGGTCGCTGTGAGCAGGAATGGACAGCAGTGAGTTTGTTTTGGGTTCAGGAAAAATGTAGGAGCCCTGCTGACATAGTGGTTAACCACCTGCCTGCTAACCAGGAAATCAGCAGTTCAAAATCACCAGAGGCTCCTAGGAGGCAAGATCCGTCAGTCTCACAGTCTGTTGTGGTTAGGTGCCATAGAGTCAAGTTCAACTCACAGAGTCCCCATGAACAACAGATCTGAACCCGGTCCTACCCTGTGCCATCCTCATCCCATTGCTGCGGTCACTATGTCAATCTGTCTCAAGGGTCTTCCTCTCCTTTACTGACCCTCTACCTTTCCAAGTACGATGTCCCTTTCCAAGAATTGGTCACTCCTAACAACACGCCCAATGTCAAGGAAACCCTGTACGGCAGTTCTGCTCTGTCCTACCTAAGGAGCTCAGGATGCCTCAGCCGTGGGAAATTGTACCACTAACACAAAAGTAACACCTCTCTGCCAGTTCAAATCCACCAGCGACTCCACAGGAGAAAGATCGATCATTCCCTCCAATGACATTTACAGTCTGTGAAAATCGAAGGCGTAGATTCCAACTCAACTGCAATGATAGAATAAGGCACTGTTCTTTGGAGTTGCTGTGAGCTGGATTCAACTAAACAATAGCAGACAAAATGTTATACAGATTTGCAAATTATATATTAAATGAAATCAAGAGACAAATTGCTTTGGGAAAATCTGTGTTCAGGGACCTCTCCAGAGTGCTGAAGAACAACACTGTCAGTCTAGAAACTAAGTGTGCCTGATCTAAGGTGTGATCTTTGCTATTGCTAGGTATGTATCAGAGAGCTGGACAATGATTAAGGATGAGAGAAGAAGAATCAATGCCTTTGAGTTGTGGTGCTGGTGAAGAGTATTGAACATAGCATGATCTGTCAAGAGAACTAACAGGTCTGTCCTAAAGAGGGTGAAACCTAGCTGCTCCTTGGAGGCAAAGATTTGAAGCTCCATCCCACATACTTTGGGCATGATACCAAGAGGGACCAGTCCTTTGAGAAAGATATGCTTGGAAGGGTGGAGGGGCAGCACAAGAGAGAAAAACACTGGATAAGATGGATTGACTCAGTGACTAGAGTAATAAGAGTAGGCGTGTCAGAGACAGTGAAATTGACTCAGGATAGGGGCAGAGTTCAGAGCTATTATACATTGGATCGCTATGAGTCTCAGGCGACTCCATGGCACATAACAACATATTAAATGAGGTTCAATCACTTTATGCTCTTGATTTAAAGATATTTTTGTTTTAACACTACTCTCTGTAATGTTTAGGAAGCCCTGATGGCTTAGTGGTAAAGAATTATGCTGTCAACCCAAAGGCACATGGTTTGAATCAATGACCTGCTCTGGGAGAAAAATGGACAATTTCTTCCTGTGCTATCTATTGCCTCTGAAAACATGTTGAAGGGTCACCTACGAGTCAGTTCCAACTCAAAAGTACCTAACAACAACAATAACAACTCTGCGATATTTAGCATGATGTTTTGTATATGGCAGATCCCATAGTTTTACTGAATTGTCTTTCCATATGTCTTTTCACTACTGAGCTGTGTCTGTTGCCTTTGTCTCATCTAACTGGCTAAAAACCAAGAAAATCAGAAAACCAAGCTTCATACAAAAGATTTTTTTTTCTGGGAAGCATGTGTAAAGTATAATAATGAAGTCATCAGAAATCCTCAAAATAAAAAAGAACCAGATAATGTCCTAAATGAAACCCCAACCTAGAAGAAGAGGAAAGCCAAAATATGAATATCCTAACCCCCACCTGCCCCTCAAAAAAAGACTGGATTGGAGGAAAACTCATCAGTAACCTTCATTATGCAGATGACACAACCTTGCTAGCTCAAAGTGAGAATGATTTGAAGCACATACTGCAGAAGATCAAAGAATACAGCCTTCAATATGGACTGCATCTTAACCTCAAGAAAACAAAAATTTTCACCACTGGAACGAAAGGCAGAATCATGACAAATGGAAAAAAGATTGAAACTGTCATCATCTCATTTGGATACACACATCAACACACTTGGAACCAGCAGTCAAGAAATCAGGAGACATATTACACTGGAAAAGCCTGAAGTCAGGGGCCTCTCCAAATTACTGAGGAGCAATGATGTCTGTCTGAGGAGTAAGGGGCACCTAATTCAAGCCATGGTCTTCTCAATCAGTTGCTATGCATCTGAGAGCTGGAAAATGAAAAAGTTTGACAGAAGAATTGATGTCTTTGAGTTGTAGTGCTGGAGAAGAGTACTGAATATCCATGGATTGCCAAAAGAACAGAGATGTCTTGGGAAAAGTGCAGTCACAATGCTCCTTGGAGGCAAAGATGATAAAGTTTCAACTCACATACTTCAGGAATATTGCTAGGAGAGGCTATTACTTAGGGAGGGATATCATGCTTGGAAAGTTGGAGGATCAGGAAAAGAGAGGAAGACCCTTAACCAGGTAGACTGACACAATGACTGCAGCAATGGGCTCAAGTATATCAGTGATTGTGAGAATGTCACAATGACAGGACAAGGCTCAGATCCATTGATCATAAGGTCATTGTGAGTTGTACTCAACGTGAGGGCAAATAACAACAAGCCCCTAAAAAGCAAGGATAAATGTTTAAGAGATGGACTGAGAGAATATTCTGGAAGATTATCTTCTCAGAGTGCTGGTAGCTGTTTTGTGGAGGAGACAGTATTTGAATGGAACTTTAAAAGGCTGAAAGCATGGAGCTCTGGTGGCCTAGTGGTAAGAATCTGCACTGCAATCCCAAAGGCATGAGGTTTGAATCCACAAGATGAAGGATGGGCAAACTCCTCCTGTGTAATTATTGTCTCTGAAAACTCACTGGAGGGTCAGCTATGGGTCAGTTCCAACTCAATAGCACACAAAACCATGCTTCATTATAACAAATAAATAGTAGGGTTTTATAAAAAATAAAAAGGGTTGCAGCATGTGGATGAGCAGGAAGTGAGGGAAAAGGAATTCTGGGTGAAGAGAAAACATTGTGAGAATTACGGCAAGGAGGAGTCTGGGTAATAATAAATACATGGACTCACTGACTCAGAGACAGGAAAAGTGAGCTCCAACAGTGGGACAAGAGGAGGCCTTTAATAACCAAAAGAATGATGACCACTATGACATAAGCTTAGGGAACTTACGCTTATTAAGCAACGAAATTACAACTTTTTAAAAATAGTAACCATACAGAATCATTAGGAAGGAGCCAGTGTCTGAGAAGTTTTCTACTGAGGAAAGCCAGAAGTGCTCCTCAAAGACTTTATCAAAACTTTCTTTAGAAATGTCACAGCCTTCTTCCCCTGCATCCTGCTGGGGTCTATAAAGGCGAGGTTGCTATGAAACGAAGTTCCTTATTGGTGACATCTGCTACAAATTCCAAAAAAGTTCTTTCTTTGGCTTTGTGGCACAGAGAGGCATTTGTAATGGAGAAGTCCAAGTTCAGAGATGACACAGATCCATAATCACTTAGCTACAACTGGGACATCAGAACACTCAAGCTCATTGCATTTGAGCCAGAACTGGCTCACAGCTGACCCTGCACTGGCTTCAGAGGCTGTAAACCACACATAGGAGGCTGTCACGCTTTCTTCCCCGGAGCTGCTGGTGGATTCGACAGGCATCTGGGTGAACAGCACAACTCCCCACAGACTAGGTCACTAGTGCTCCAGCTCTGAAAAAGGAAAGTCTTTAAAGTTCTGTTGACCCAGACTCTTCCAAGTGTTTTATTTATACCAAATGTTTTACACACACACACACACACACACACACTCTCTCTCTCTCTCTCTCTCTCTATCTCCTTCTTGTTGTGTACCGTCAAGTTGAAACTGACTCATAGCCGACCTTCTGGTGGGTTTTCAGAGGCAGTTAATCACACGGAAGAATATTGCCCATCCTTCTCCCACAGAGCAGCTAGTGGATTCAAACCCATGCCTTCAGAACTGCAGCACAGCTTCTTGCCACTAGGCCGCCAGTGCTACAGACATTCTATTTCTTTCCTAAAACCTAGGCAAATTCTGAATGCTGAAACACATCTGGTCCTGCAATGTTTCAGATAAAGGACAGCTGACCTGTATTTTGCAAATATCCTTTCACAAACTAATGATGTTATTGTGCTTCCTGAGGCTATGCTGGCTGGCTCTGTCATTGGAAAAAACAACAGAAGACCTGAATAAAACAGAACCTGCAGGCAGTTTATTTTGTTTTGCTCCTTGACTGCACTTCAGGAGCGCTGCCAGCCACTCACTGGCACCCCAATGCCAGGTCAGCCCAGCCTGACTGTGTGGGCGTTGGCCTGCTTACCAGATCACACCTGGGCACGCTGGCCACAAACTGGGCCCCCTGGCAGCCAAGGATGAATCCAGCCAGATTTAGGAGGACACAGACCACGGACAGCAGCACAAAGAGGTTGACCTGAAAGTGCAAGAGAAGAGGCAGTTAAAAAAAAGACAGCCAAAAAAAAAATCCAGATACTATTTTAGCTGAAATAAAAACCTCAAATTCTCTTCTATAAGGGACAAAAAAAAAACCCACAAACCCACTCACCACACAAACCTAGCTCAATTTTTAATATACAGACTTTTTCACACTTCAGAATATTTTAAATGCTGAGGAATGTCACCACTCTTAAGTCTTCTCCAGAATTTCAAGTTCTTATTTTCCTTCCTTAGTCAAGAAATCAAAAGGTCTGTTGCTCTGGGAAAATCTGCTGTCAAAGATCTCTCCAAAGTGCTAAAAAGCAAAAATGTTAGTTTAAAAGACTAAGGTGGATCTGATCAAAACCATGGTATTTTTTTATTATTTCCTATGCATCTGAAAGCTGAATAAAGAATAAGGATGACAGAAGACACTGGCTTTTGAGTTATGGTGCTCAAGAAGAGTACCAGATGGATTTCCAAGAGAACAAACATGTATTTTATTTTAGAGAAGGACAAGCAAGGTGCTCCTTAGAGGCAGGGATGATGAAACTTCATCTTACATACTTTGGGCATGTGACCAGGAAGGACCAGTCCTTGGAAAGAAATACAACATGCTCAGAAAGGTGGAAGATCAGAGAAAGAGAGGAAGACCTTCAACAAGATGGATTGACAGAGACTGAAATGTCTTAAGCACATTGCCATCATGAGGATGGCAGAGGATACGGCAAGGTTCAGATCTGTTGTTCAAAGGGTCCCTATGAGGAGTAGTTGACTCGATGACTCTTAATGATTTTCCTTCTTTCCAAATAGCCCTAAGCCCTGACTGTTTCCTCCTTGAGCCACTCTTCCTTTATTGAGTGCTGAGGATTAGCAGTCAAGTAGACAAATGAGGAGTCCTGGGGAGTTAGTGGAACTCAGGGAATTCCAGATATTCAAAAAGCACTTAGTAGTCCTAGAAGCCAGATAGGGGGACTGGACTTTGCTAAGCCAATGCAAACAATTACCAAAACTCACCCATGACCATAAACAGGAAAGAGACTAAGCCAGTCTGAAAGGAAAGTTGGCATCTTTCAAGTGAAAATTCTGACCTTTACAATGAATGCAGGCCATGTTATGTGCTGTGATTGCTGCCATCAAGGAGGCTTTGAATCATAGATTCCATGTATGACTCATGGACCCTAGGCTGCCCAACCCTGTGCCCCCTTCATGATCACGGAATGTTCTAGAGTAGCCACTGTATATTCTGAGTGGCTTCCAGCACCAGAGTGGACAGTATTCTACTGTGATCCATAGGGCTTCTTCACTTGACTAGAAACTTGTCTGGAAACTCTGATAAGTACAATTCACCACCAATACAAGCCAGAGTCAGCCACATTCTTCAACTGTTGAAGTTTACCGGAATCAAAATATATCACACCATAACAACAACAATGGTAACTAACTTCTATTCATTCTTAAGCAAAAGATCAAGGAATTCCCAAAAACAAGTAGAATGCCTCACACATCTTAGATGTTATAATGGATTAAAAATGTATGGAAAGAAGACTGGGAATCATACAGGAATGGTAGATAGTAAGAAGAAATTAAAGATTGGATATTAAAAAATACATATCACACCAGCAAGTATGGGCTTTTGGAAAGTAGCTTAAAATGCTGTATTGTCTCTCAGAAAAAAAAATCCAAGCCCATTGCTATCAGGTTCATTCTGACTCATAATGACCCTCCATCGAGTTTCTGAGACTGCATATCTTTATGGAAGGAGACTGCCTCTCCTTCTCTTGCAAAGTGACTGGAGTCTTCTCTCCTACCTTTCAGGTAGCATTCCAATACACCATACTACACCACGAGAGTTGCCTGAGGTTTTCTTAAGAACTTAGACCTGAAACAACGAGCTCAAATGATAAAATATTTTAATTGGCTTTTCTCCTTAATTTATAAATAAAGCTCACTTGGGGGAAATGTCAATAGCATCAAGCAAGAAGCAGCAGAGCAAGACAATTGGGTCAGAAATTTCTACTTAAGACAGACTGAGGCCTAGACCAGAGAAGCCGCAGCAACAGAGGTGGTAGTGAACCAGAGATCGGCATGAGACAGAGTTGAGTGAGCTGGAACTGTCATCCCACAGAGCTGGAACAGAGCTCTGGGGGGCCAAGTGGTGAGGAGTTACACCACCAACGTAAAGGGGCGTGGTTTGAACCCACCAGCCACTGTAAAGAGAAAGATGAGCAAGCTTTTCTCTAGCGATTTACAGCCTCTGAAAACCCACAGGAGGGTCAGTTATGAGTCTGTTTCGATTCACATGTACATAACAACAGCAACACTAGGGTTAGAACCAAGGAGAAAGGGGAAGCAGAAGTTTATGAGCCATCCGAACCAAGACATAGATACTGACATGCATAGGATTAGTAATTTGGGCACGTAAGTGACATAAAAGGCAGTGGACTGAAATAAGAACTGTTTACCAAGCTTGGAACTCTCCATGACAATGTTTCATTGGCCCTGACTCCAGCCCCAAGACGTGCCCCCATAAGGAAGCCATAAATATGACATCACCTTGGTGACATATGCCTCATCTATTACTTTCTTTCTGGGAACAATGGACCAGTCCCTTTAGGGAGGTACCTCTTCTAATAAATCTATCTTTTTTTTTACCTTCACTTTTTCCTCCTGCCTTTATTCTTGTTTTAACATTCCAACAGAGCCTCAGCCTAGTGCTCTGTACACTAATGTCAGCTCTCCCAGAGAACACTAAAATTGCTACCTTGGTAGCTTGGGCACTGTCTCTTCTCCTAGTCTTTACTGCTCGGCTTCATTCTTTAGCTTGAGCGAGGACCATGAACTAGGGCACTGGCTCCATAGTAAGACAACATGCTCAGGAGAGCTAGGGTGGGGGAAAGATGCCATATTTGGCAGAAATAAAAGAACTAGGAAGGACTTTCCTTGGCAAAGAACATGATGCTGGGAAGGGTGGAGGGCCAGCGAAGGTGAAGAAGACCCTCAACCAGGTGGATTGACACAGTGATTGCTGCAATGGTCTCCTGTGTCAGGAAGTGTGAAGATGGCACAAGATAGAACAGGGTTCCCATCATTTGTTCATAGTTTCTCTATGAGTTATACTTAACACTACCTAAATCCAACAATAAAAGAAGCGTGTACCACCAGCCAAAAGCCATGAAGTTGAAGTCAAAGGGCCTATAAGCAAGTCTGAGAAGCTGTCCTGATTGAAGAACTGGACCTTAACTACTTCCTACCTAAATTGTAACCTGTTAACTTCCCTAACAAATTCCTTAATCCTGAGTCTGAATTCTGTGTGGTCAATGCAAGGGATTAGTGGATTCAGCAGTAAGCAGATCAATGAGAGCCCTGGGAAGAGGCAGTTGCTATGATAATTGATAGAAGGAGGTATGGGAATGTGGAGATCTGTCTGATGATGTTGATGGGGACTCTTCGCCTTGTGGTGTTAACTGAGGTCAGAGGCTGCTGCACTCATGCTGCACAGTTGATGTCAGCATCAAATTCATTGCAATGGCTCAAGTTTCATGGAAATAAGGAATTTTTTTAAATATAAGAGGCCAGGGACACAAGAAGTACACCTTAGATGGCCACTTTTGTTGCTGCGAAGGGGAGAACAGGTGCTTCTTGAACTGCCTGAGATTTAAGTCAGAGGCCCAAGAATATATGCATGTGAATGGGATACAGTTAAAGGTAAAGGAATGAAGATGAAACTGAATTTTTTTTAACATTTACGATTTATTTACTTAACAGAATGTCCTTTAATGACTACTGAATGCTTCTTCTTTGTGGTAATGTAAAATAAACAATGGAAGTTAATACTGGACACTGTAGATCAGAAAAAGTATGAGTCCCCACTTGACTAGTACTTGATTGGGTTTATTGAAACAGGAGGGAAGATTCCCCCTGGAGAAATGACGCCTAAGGGCAGCAACAGACCTTTGTGAGGGGCTTAGGTCCCACCATGGACCTCAGAGTTAGGAAATTTGTGTTTAAATAGCCATGCTTTCCTAAACAGTACAGTGAGGAAACCCTTCTAGTTCATAGGATACCCTCTAAGTTGGAATACACTTGAGGGCAACAGGTTTTTAAACATCATGAAAACCATTTGCCAAGTTATTCTCTGGCTGTGTCCCTCAAGAGAAGCCAGCAACGCTCCAGATGGTCCTCCCCTCACATGACCTCACTCCTTCCTCAAGCTAAGGGTGGGGAGCAGCCTCATGGTTCCCTATACCTTGCAAATCACTTTGTGAATAATCCTTACATTTAAAGTCTTGTCAAATTATCTTGATTTTATTATGCTACCTATTTCCTGCTCAGTAAATACCCTTAACAGTTTACCAAAAGATTAGAAGTTCAAGTGGGGCTTCAGAAGAGAGATCTGGTTCAGACCACAAATTCAGTACCCTTCAGAAGTTCAGTACCCTTAATTGTTAACCAAAAGATTAGAAGTTCAGAGGGACCTCAGAAGAGAGATCTGGTGAGTTATATCCAAAACATTAGCCACTGAATGATCTATGGAATCAGATTCTCTACTCTGAAGAATATGAATGGCCATGAATTAGAATCAACTCAATGACAGCTTGTAATCTGCTTTTTCCTGCTGGGTCCCTGACTAAAGCTACTTCTCTACAAAATTTCCTTTACCTGACTTCCTCCTGCTTTTTAAGCTCAGTTCTATTATTCTCCTCTTAAATTAATCATCACCTGTGCAGGGAACATATAAACACCATTAGCTACAGTTACTGAATTCTATGGAAGCCAGTCATCATTGTGATTGACTCTCACTGAGAGATAGAAAAAGACAGCTTATATGGAAACAACTTTCTAGATCTTGAAACAAGACAGGACACAAAAGTGGTGGGCTTATCCCACTGCATCCTTAAAGGGTAAAGATGCACCTCCTGACAGCGGGTCCTCTCTCAAGGACTGGCAATGTAAGTCTTTTCAATATTTGGATTTATGTTTTGTTACTAACTTGAA